CTGCGGAGGCAACGGCGCCGGGGGGACCGGCTAAGCTGGTTTAAGGGGCCGCAGGATCGCCCTTCGCGCCTGGCGGTTCTTGGGGGCAGCCGCGGAAGTTGTCCCTTGCGTATTCCGCGAAGGGGAGCGGCCGCTTTAAAACAATTCCCAGTATAATGCTTGCTCCTCGCTCCGTTTCTCTGTGTTGGGCTTCTCGGGGTGGTGCTAGGGGGCTGGGACCACTTACAGTATTTATTTTTATTTTATTTATTAAATTTCTCAGCCGCCCATCTCCCCCCAAAGGGGGAACTCTGGGCGACTCACAACAGACATTAAAAACATATATATAAATACATAAAACACTTCCTAGTTTCTGGTAACAAGGTTTGTTCTGGGGGAGCACGCGTGCATGTGGGCGCGTGCGCCTTCGAGTCTGTCTTGATGGTTTTTCATTTCTCTCCTAATGATGCTTTTTAAAAAAAAAACTAAAGCCCTTCAACTGCTTTAACAGATTAAATCAGCTGAGGAAATCCAAACTAGATGGATTTTAACAATGAAGTAAAAATAAAAAGCGCTTCTTTTCATCGAGTCAAGCCACCGATCCCTCTAACCTAGCTCAGCAGGGAATGCCGTGCATTGTAAAGGGAGCCAGATTTGCCTCCAGCCAATAATTTGTTCCATGCTGCTTCCCATGTTAGCATCCATTGGGGTGAAACGTGCTATCCTGCTTCAACTGTGGCGTGCAAGGTATAGGTTGTCCTCCGGCCTATATGAAGCCTTCTGGCCATCTTTCGATATTTTCTTCCTCTGCCTCCAATGGTCACCTGCTTACTAGTCTGACTAGAAGTGTATCTCTGTGGCGGATAGCAACAGAGCGCGTGACGTACGGAGGTTGTACAATTTGGTTGGTGACCTGAAGTTCTAAAGAGCATCTTCTCCCTTCTGGAGAACAGACCATTGCCTTCGGTCTGTTAAATAGGTTTGGCCCTGTACTTGGAGTCTATCTAATCTCGATGTGGTGGGATGTATCTACGAAGGGTGGTGTGAGAGATCAAGGCTATCAGGAAGGAGGGGGTGCATTCCAGGAAGGGCAGAGAGACAAGGGACAACACAGTCCGGAGCAGGAGCGTGGGAAGCAGAAGAGGTTCAGGACAGCCACTCCCTAGAATCTCCCAGGGTAGATCCACTAGTTGCAGTAATATAGATTGAGTCTGGCAAGATCCTGCCTATAAGGTGTAAGCAAATAAAGGAACTTAACTCAACTGGACTGTTTCACTGTTGTTCTTGGGCTGGGCCTGACAATCTCTAGAGTCATCAGTACCATGGTCTTCCTGCTAATTAAAATCAACCAACTGGAACTGTTGGGAACAAGCTAGCATCTTTTCTTGGCCCTCTATGTGTTTTGCTATGAAACCTTTTGTCGCTCAACCAGCGTGGGGTGTTTGGCAAAAACCTGACTTTGAGTTTTATCAAACATGGCATTTCTTAACTTGTATATTCATCTTTCCTGTTAGAGAGATCCAGGATGACGAACTTAAAAAATTCACTTCTCGGATCTCAGCCTTCCTCCAAAATCAAGACTTTGGAAATGAAACGATTGATTCCTTGCGAAGACTATTTCTTATTGTCTCGGCCACCAAATATAGTCGGAAGTGAGTGAGAACAAGCACTGAATATAACATGCATTGTTCTTTGTGGAATTTATTTTCCTAATCCAATTTGCTAATTGTTTATTTTTGTCTTTTGTGGAAGAAAGTAGCCTTTTTTCAGTATCTCTGCAGCATAATTTTAAAAAAAAAAACGAAATGACATACTCATTGAATTAAGACAGGCATCAGAAATCAGGAATTTGTTGTACAGAACAATGGGGAAAAATCTGGAGAATACAATGAAGGCATGGCAATTGTAATTAGATCCAGAAATGCCTTTTGTTGGGGAGATTTTTACGGGAAAATATCAAGTTGATGGTATATTGTTTAAGCATTGCTATTATTTTAAACTTCCTTTTTCTGGTGGGTTCTTTATTTGGATGGCTTTTTTTATAGATTGGAGGGCAAAGTTGTTCAGCTCCTGCAGACAACCCTGTACCTACCAAAATCTCCCGAGCAAGTACAGATACTTTGCAGTGCCATATTGAGAGAGATATTTTGTGAGAATTTATCTCTGCCTTGGGATAAATTCCGGGATCCCAAGCTCTTGAGCTTAGCTTTCTCCATCGTGCAACCCCAAGTAAGCAAGGCATTTTTATTATTATTTTTAATGCACTTTTTTCAATATTGTCTGTCTGTGTGATGGCTAGGAGTCGGAAACGACTTGATGGCTCGTAATCCATCAAGGCGGCTCCAGATGTCCATACTGTCCTACCATATGTAATCAAGATTCAAACAGCCAAACAGTAATCAATATTGCACAATAAAATATTGCTGTTTCTTTTTTGCAGGGGGGGGAGGCTACAGTTTTACAATTGTTTTGCTCTTGACCTCTGGCCGGGTTAGATTTTGGACATGATAAAAGCAGTTGCTGGATGAATGTTCTTAATGCTTTCTTTAAGCTCCCCCATGTGGTGGGAGTGGATATTTTGCAAATTCTGGAAATCCACAAAAACTAGAGGCTCTCTTGCATTAGGGCAGTGTTTCTCAACCTCAGCAACTTTAAGGTGGGT